CCGCTCTTCCGATCTCATAGCCCGCCGTGAAATTTTACAAATGTTCTCGTTTTCTTCAGATAAATTACTTTGGTATTATGGGTGCCACGGTAATAACACATGTCAATGGATGCAGTATTAGATATTTCAATAATGGACAGGTAACATGATTTTTATCTTCAATATCAGGGAAAGAGATTTATTCAGTAATTCAATAGGAAGATAAGCGCGTTTGCATGGGTGATATGCCTGCACATTTATGACATGCCTGCTTTGGAGCGTTGATTCACGGATTTCTTGTTCCTATTTTTGTAAAGTATTTGTAAGCCCCCACGAATAATACCAAGGCGTTCGTACCTAAATTCTCTTTTCAAAAAAATCTAATGCCGAACATAAACACATATAACTCCTTGAGCAGGCGACTTTCTGAGCTTTTTCCGAGGTACTTAGAAAAAACAAGCTGTTGTGGTTCTGGATAATTAACAGCTCAAAACGTTTGGGATCGTGAACTCGACGACCGAAAGGTACAGAATCAAGATGCTAGAGGGAAGACAATTTAGGACTCCTTGTGCACAGCCTGAACTACCAGGATTTTTGTATGGAGCTGAAGGAGAAGGAGCTCCGAAGTGACGAATGGCGATAATCCCAGTTTTACACAATAAGTCCCTCAAGTGCACCCAAGTCTATTACTGCCAAAACAAGAGTTCGAGATTGCGGTCCTCTAAGTGCTGCCGATGGAGAAGATATTATGTTCTCCGATGCTAGTTATTTGTTTGTAAGTGTTGAGCGGCACCTCCAAGAATTCACATTAATCCTAAAGGAAATCGCCAATATAGAGGACCCGCTCTGACACTAAAAGGAATCTCCCTTAGAGTAGTAATAGGCCAGGAAAAGATTGCTTGGATTTACCGCCCATAGTAATGAACGCATCAAGTTGAAGAAGCTATTTACTGCAGACTGGAGACTGAGAAGCCTGCGTAACATGCTTTAATCGAAGAGTTTACGTCTGAAATAAAAAGATGGAACATTGAAAAACTTATCCCTCACGTTTCAGCGCATAGGGGAGACCAATGTTCCGATTGTTGAAATCTAATCTATCTTAGATTGAGCTGTATCGTCTCTCTGGAGAGATCTCGCGGTTCGACCCTTCTACAAAGCAGCGTACCGAGACAATGCTTCATGCTGATCGCTCAAGATACGTCGAAATGTAAGTTTCTTCTAGGAATCCGTCTTTTCCTTTCTGCCACTGATTGGTAAGAAAAATAGTAACGAACGGTCCCTATCATAGCGAAGCAACGAGGGGTCTCACATCAGTGCTGCGGCGGCCACGTTTTCCGGCAAGCACAGGGAAAAACAGAAAAGGGTATAAGAAAAATAGCTGCCGCTGCGCTCGAATCTGCCCTTTGGCACGCCTCATCGCTTCACTTTGATGCAAACTGTGGTTGCTCGTACACTGTCCCCGGTAACAATAGCAACGAGTTAGGCATTTGGCTCTTGTGGTCACCTCGTTCTTCCCTACGACTTCTCAGATTTCGTGTTGAAGTAATGATGATTACGTTGAAGATTTGACCCGAGCGGTTCTTGCCTCCGGATAGAAGGAACAAATAAAAGCTGGCAACGATTTGGAGAACGATCGACGTACAGGGGGCATCCATCAGACCGTCACGTATACAATCATAGCAATGTGGAGCCGGAATGGATAGAGCCCGAGTATAATGTATGTGTACCCTTTTTTGGGTGTTTGGTTAGTCAAATATTTAGAATCGGTCCTTGCAGGCTCGACGATGTCCCGATGGTGCGCTGAAGGTCAAATTCGCTAATGTCATGGTGAGATAATTTGTTCGTCAAATATTACTCTTTCCATGTAGCGCTTACTTTATTGATAAAACGACCAGTGATTATAGTTTATCCTTGTTTGCCTTCAGTCTAACATGATGCACTGGAGTTTTCTGACACTTAGCCCTGAGAGGAACGGGATTTTTCAGAAAGGGGCGAGGTTCCTGTGAGGTGGGTGTGGCTCTTCATAATGGGTGGGCCTACTTGCTTCAGCCTGCAAAGACGAGAAAAGACTTCAAAGATCGAAATTTTGCAAAAAAGCGAAAGTCAACGGTCGAGTTCCAATTATGAAACTTTCGGAAATGCGGTGGATTAGGCGCCTGGGGGTAGTGCACATCTGTTATCTCAAAACACTTTTAGGCAGCTCAGACTTTGTAGCGCTACAGCTGTAGCGCTACGTCGCGCTACAGTTGTACCGAACTCCAGCTTCCTTTTATGTTTTTTCTTTCTGAATTCAACCCTTTTCTCTTTGTTTCTCATATTTATCTGATAGTGAGCTCCTGTTTTCTACTTTATCACATTTTAATGTAGTTTTTGATACAGAAGACTGTGATAATTGGTTTTATTTATCGTTTTTGACTTTAATTATTTGGTTTCAGAGTTGCTATTGATGTTGATTTCTTTGCTTGATGTCTTGCAGTGGTGCCAATTAACAACCAATTATCACAGTGTTCTGTATCAAAAACTACATTAAAATGTGATAAAGTAGAAAACAGGAGCTCACTATCAGATAAATATGAGAAACAAAGAGAAAAGGGTTGAATACAGAAAGAAAAAACATAAAAGGAAGCTGGAGTCACAACTGACGTAGCGCTACAGGTCAACGCTGCCTTAGGCCTCTGAAGAAGAAGGTTTTGTCGGGCCGGTTAACAAATAATTCCGCCTAAAGACCTCGAAAGGCACAATGAAAAAATACTGGCTATTTTGTTGGATAACTGCTGTTTTACGCCGCAGTACGCGTTACGAAAGTTATCACAAGAATGCTGAGTTATGGGCAAAAGTCGTGCCCCAGGCGGGAGTCGAACCCGCACCTCACGCTTTCCGGGCGAGTGCGCTATCCGTTACGCCACCAGGGCCTATTTTACCCTCTCAGCTTAACGGCTTATGCCGTAACCTTACAGCACTCACACGTTAAGCTGAGAGGGTAAAATAGGCCCTGGTGGCGTAACGGATAGCGCACTCGCCCGGAAAGCGTGAGGTGCGGGTTCGACTCCCGCCTGGGGCACGACTTTTGCCCATAACTCAGCATTCTTGTGATAAGTTATTCGAAAAGCTGCTACTAATGAATTTGTTGTGCAGTTATTTTTGACTTTTTCAATAAGAAAAATAATCTTTTCCATGAGGGCGAGAAACATTCCGTTTTCAACTAAAAGCCGAATGGGGGCATCGCAGGTAATTACCTAACTTCCACGAGTTGCTAGGTCTTGAATATATGATAGGTACAGTTTAATGCTTTAACTATTCAAAGAAGTGCTGTTCATTGTGCGGCACATCAGCTCAGGTTGTTTCTTTAGGTGTGTTGCCTCGGTGTTGAGGATGTTGGTTATGTGAAGCACACAACTCGTCTGGAGAACGGTAGTGAGCGAAAGCGTATGTGTGTCGAATGGGGCCACGTGGCTCGGGCTAGACAACGTCAAATCGAAGCCCGAAAATGCCAACAAATGACTGCCCTCAATGCTACCGTGTAATGGTGTCTGAATTTACGGTGTAAAGTTCGAATCTTTCTCTTTCTTGCCTTGCTCATATTCGAGTATTCTGCTCAGGAAATGCTGTTATTGTATGATAGATTGAATAAATTTACGATTATATCGCCTTCATTCTGTAAATTCCTCTGACGCTGGGATATGCTGAGGACCATTCCAAAAACAATTGGAAGGGTGCGTCAACCGCTGAAAGAAGGCCAGCCCCGGACATGAGCTTGACATCAACTAGACGGGGTAGATGTGCATCACTAGAATACTTCGCCTGTGATCCTGAGGCTTTGTGCTGATGTCACGTGTGAGCGATTTGTAGGCTGTACTATATGAGAAAGGATATTTCGTGCTACTTCGGCACTATGCACTTTACTGTTGATATCAGTACTGGTGTTGGGGATCATGAAAAACAGGGAAAAATGTGGGAGTATAGTAAGTATCATTGTTAGTTAAGTCTTTCTTTATTCCGGTCTATACGACAACGCGCTTCGCAGAAGATTATGATTCGGAAGATCAGGAGAGCGCTGCATCTCACCTGCGTTGATAAAGAAGACGGTGAGGGACAATTTACGATATGTAGCCCTAATTCAAGTTTAAAGTTCAGATGTGATCAGTCTTCGATTGTATTCACAGTGTTCCGCCTAGAATAGAAAAGTCTTGTCTTGTTCTTTTCGTTTGTGGAGGGTTCACAAGCAACTTACTAGTAATGCGGTGCCGCTACCACCGGCATTTACCAGCGAAAAGATTTCCGATCAGCTCCTCCCCTCTGAACAATTTTGCCTACGACTTTGCCCTGAGTCGGTAAAATCGTGCGAAACCGAAACAATGACGTTTTACCAGCCTTTGAAAGTCATTCCAGACACCGATTGAAATGTAAAATGTCATAACGATTTGCGTGGATCACAATGACCACATCCCGGATTTATCAACTGCTCTTTTACAAGCGTGCCCGGGAGCGTTATTTAGCAGTTCCGCGTCAGCCGTCAGTAGCATGCAATTTCCAGAAGGAGGAGACCTTCGTGATAGTTGAATTAGTCAAGATATGCGAAAAAGTGAAATGTACGAAGTGGTCCACCCAATCCGGATTCTTCCATAATCGGCTAATGCCGTTTGGACTCCAGAAATTTCGACACCGAGCTCATTTTCAAATTGTCTAAGTCACCAAATCCGCTAAAAACTTGTATATAGGGGTAATTCAACATCCTGATCACGAATATGACATTCATTTTTGGCGCTGGCGCTAATGGATGACACTACGATTATCTGCGCTCTGCTAAGGCTGAGCCCAGGAGGTAATCGTAGTGTCCTCTCTTGGCGCCAGCGACAAGAGTGATGTCATATTCGTAATCAGGATGTTAAACTACCCCTATATACAAGTTTTTAGCGGATTTGGTGACTTAGGCAATTTAAAAATGAGCTCGGTGCCGAAATTTCTGGAGTCCAAACGGCATTAGCCCTATTCGCGAGCGCGAGAAAGTATAGATATTGATCTAGCGTCTGCGCAAGCGTGCAGCAGCGTCTCTGAGCGTCTACCAGCGACTCGAGGGCCTGGGAAGTACAGTTATCGTCTAGCCGTCCTTACAGCATCGTGATGTGTGAAGTGGTGAAATCGCGCAAAAAGTCAACAACCGAGAAAATTTTTCTCCAAAATTCTTCGAATTCTCTCAATGCCCATGTACGACCCGCTCTCCCCAGCGGAAAAGTACGATCTCCCTCTATGTGTTTACAACGATGCTGTACCCTGTCTAGCGTCTACCAGCGTGTGCCAGCGCGCATTGGCGTCTTCCAGCGTTCGGGAGAGGGGAATATATCGCGATAAGAGGGTAGTAGACAGCTGGTACGCTACTATCGCGCCATACTCTCTACCAGCAGTCTGCCAACCTCCTATCTTCCCATACTCTACCAGCTGTCTGATACCCTCCTGTCGCGCCACTCTCCTCTCCCGGACGCTGGGAGGTGCTGGCACATGCTGGCACACGCTGGCAGACGCAAAATTGATATCCAATCCCTTTCGTACTCGCTGGCTCTGGGGACGCTCGAAAGCTTGTGGACGCCGCCGCAAAAGTATGAACGCAGCCTCGCGCGATCGCATCTGTTCTCTTTTTTGCGGCCTCGTAAAGGAAGCGATGCTATCCAAATCACATGAAAGTGCAAGGCGCTATAAGGTACTCGGTATAAAATGGCGACAGAGGTGCTACATAATGGGGGAAAGTTACAAAGAAGCGAAGTGAAATGGTCAAAATCTCCAACAGGAGTTGTTCTGCAGAACACTGGACGAGTATACACTTGACAGAAAGGGGTTTGAACGACTATCCTATTGGCATAGCCAATAACCGCACCGGTAGATACGGTTGCATCTTATACCCACACATTCATGCGCACTACAGCCGCTTCATATCAATTGCACTTCATAAATGACAAGAGAACAGTTTAGCATTTTCACATTCTACGACCCTGACGAAACGGAGGTTCGGCGCAAAGCAATAAATATGTATCGATCAGAGAATCGTCAACCGCTTTGATAAAACGCCGGCGCAGTTCGCGTTTCCGCGAAGTCGGTTAGGTTCGCTGCGGATGAAGGGGCATGTCAGGCAGTATGAGTGTGTCACGGCGCCAAACTCGTTCTCTGCCAGTAGTTGGAGCGGAAGTGTAGCAACTATTAGTAGGAAACGAGTGATACGAGCGACGTGATGCCACCTTGTCACTTGCTCACTTCAAACAGTTGGTGGGGTTGCCGTAGCGCACTCATGCTGCCTGACACGCCCCTCAGTCCTCAGCGAACTATACTATACATGAATTTGAGAAAGATATTCTCAAAATGACTATCTGCAAAGTTCATTACTGCTTCGAATTACAGTTACAGATGAACGACATTCAACGTCGGAAGAAATGCTTTCGCCGTATACAGAAGCCGATCGTGAGCAGAAGAAGAGGAAGGTATGGTACCAGCCACTGCGAATGAGAGTACTCTTGAAGCGTAGACTGCGCTTATAGTTGGTTTCTGCTGTGGGGCGGCGAGGGTAGGACCGCAGCTGTGGAAAGTTTCACTACTCGGAAGTACTTGAAATAATGCCGCAGGGTTGTGATAGCTGGATTTCCTCTTGCCTACACTCGTTTCCGCCACGCGATGCACGCGTCACTTGTTTCAGGCAGCGTTCAGACTTCGCGACGGCAGCGCTTCGGTCGCGCGATTCGACGATCGATGCGCATGCTTTCGACTGCATCGATCGCGTCGAACGCGCGACCGAAGCGCTGCCGTCGCGAAGTCTGAACGCTGCCTTAGGAACGATGTCAGCACGCTCGCAACCGAGGTTGAGCTGTAGAGAATCATGGCGTCAAAGCCCTGCGTTATGGGGCCCAGACAAGTAGCGCATCGGGCGCAAACAAGTAGTGCGTACAGCTTCACTTTGGCGTATGACCGGCCAAGTGGCGTGTTGCGTGTCAGCAGCCTGCTGGCAGCATGTCGCATGCAGGGCGGAGACATACGGGGGAACCGAGCAGTCACCATTTTTCAGCATCGTTTCCGCGAGCTTTCGAGGAATAAACTGGTACACTTCTACGGTCAAAGACTCGATCTCACCTCGCACGTAGTACTCGTACAATATACTTTCGAGAAGGATACCGTACACGGTACTGAGCGAACCCGTGTCAAGGAATAAAATGACGATGGAATCATTGTACTGCCTCTCAGCAATGCATCGGCGGTTTTTAAATTAAAATATTCTTGCTTAGCTCTTCTTATTAGCTTTGATTGCATTACTTTGACAGAGGAAAGGTCCCAAAACTGGCAAGGTTAAACCCAAGAGGGCTGAAGTTCGCGGAGCAGTCCAGCCATTCTTAGAGCGGTAAGTCATATCTTCCTCCATACATATCACCAC